TGCGACTCCGTCTTGTTTCTGAGCGTATTATCGTCGGCGTCGGATCTCTCGGAGGAACTTGGCTTGGCGCGCGGGGCGCTCTCCTACGTCCAGATGTGGTGCCGCGCCGTGGTCAGCGGTGCGATGGCCAAGTTGGTGCAGACCCCGTTCGCCCCTGATTCGATCGCCGCGGATGATGTGACGGATCTGCTGAAACTTGGCCACGTTGAGAACGTCCGCTTGTTCCTGGAGAAGAGGCCGGACGTCGTTGTCGAATACTCGCCCGTCGGGGAGTTCTTCGCCAGGGCCCTCGAGCCGAACTTGAACGCGATCTTGACTGAGCGCGCTGGCGCTCAGGAGGTTAGGTTCACCGCGTGCTTCGACAAGGCGGTGGTCTTCCTCAAGTCCATCGATGCCGACGGCGCGTCCAGCATGGAGGCCAAGGATGCGATTCCAGCCCTGTCCCCCTTCTATTTCCGCCTGCTCCGCCTCCTCCCCGCTCTCTTCCTCCTCCACCTCCACCTCCTGCCCTTCTTGCTCCGTTTGCCCTCAGCTTCCTCGTCCCATTCGCCCATTCGCCATTCGTCATCCTGCCACTCCAGTAATCCCATCACCCCTCGCCCGCTCATCCCTCATCCCTCATCCCTGATCCCCTGATCCCCTCATCCCTCATCCCTCATCCCTCATCCCTCACCCCTCATTCCTTCATCCCTCATCCCTCATCCCTCATCCCCTGCATCCCTCATCACTCCTCCCTCGCTCCTCATCCCTCATTCCTCATCCCCGCGCCCCTGACCTCTCATCCCGCATCCCGCATCCCTCATCCTTGCCCCCTCGACGTCCTCGTCTTATGTTTCGTCTTGTTCTTATCTTCCTAGGTTTCGTCTCTTTCTGACCTCGCCCCCGCCGCTTGGCCCCGCCTGGCCCACCTCGTCTCGCACTCTGCGTGGCCTTGTCCTGGATCCGCTGGCCCTCCAATGGTTGCGTGGCCCTGCTGGGCCTCGCCTAAATTTCGCCTGGCCTCGCTTGCCTGCCCGCTCGCGCCCCTGCGCGCCCCCCTCAGAGGAAGCGCAGGAGGTGGCGGCCGCGTCGTTCGAGGCAGAGGCTCGGGCGTTCCGGGACGCGTCTGCCGACTCTCCGGGCAGAACCGCCGTTGTCGCCTTCAGGACCAGGGCGTGTTTCGTGGCCCGTGCTGCAGCCCAACTCGTGGAGTTCAAGCGCGGCGGTGACTTGTCCTGCGAAGCGGCCCTCAAGAGCGCCAAGGTGTTCACGCAGGCCAGCAAGAGCTTCCGTCAGTTCCAGGAGAGCTACCCGGAGGCCTGCAAGGGCGAGATCGCTACAGCGGTCCACGCAGTGGCGGCAGCAATGGAGTCGATGAAAGCATCCATGGACCGCTACTGGTTGGAGACGCCGTCGCAGCGCACCAAGCGGACCCAGGACGCCAGCTCCCCGAAGACTCTCACTGGGAACGCCGAGATCTTGAAGCTGGCGGCGCTCCAGAAGCAGTTGTTCGAGGACCCTCGCAAGGATGACCTGCCTGCTTCCGTGGCCCCGCTGGCGGCCGCCGTGGAGGCGGTCAGGGTTCTCGTGGCGACGGCTGACCTCGCCATCGACAAGGGCCTCGTTTCCGAAGCCGACGACGCGTTGTGCCACGCAAAGGTCTGCATGTGCCTCGAGTTCGCTTTGCAGCGAATCGTCTCCCTGCCGAAGACTGCCACGCCTGCGGATCTCATGAACGCGGCGTTGGACATTCAGAAGGCGCTGAAGAGGAAGGGCCATGGCAAGACGTTCGAGCTCCCAGCGTTCATGACCAATCTGCTCTCGGGCATGGTGGCCGCTGGCGAGAGGGCAGCCGCGGCGGCGAAGCTCGCCGCCAGCCAGGCCGCCTCGGGAACCGAGCAGCCATCTGCGAAGAAACGCAGGAAGGATAAGACTGCGCCGTAGCCCGCTGGCGCCATTTTCCTTTTTTCGGGGGTGGACAGAACCCCCAACAGTGACACGTCGATTAGTGAGTTGTCCGTTTTCGGTTCTCGAGATGGCGCCGTGGCAGTTATTTTCCAGGCTTGCGCCCGCCAGGTTTGGGCCTCAGGTTGTGTTCACTAAACCACATTTTACTAAAGGGAGGTCTGTCCATCTCCGATGTTTCGGTCGGTGGCCAGAGCGAGGGTTGCTGCGTGGGATCGCGCCGACAGTTGGGATTGGCCTAGGCCCCAGGTGTCTTGGCGTGGCAGCGCGTTCGAGCCCGGGCGCCCAGCAGTGCGCTTGCTTTTCAGCTTGAGCAGGTTCTGTTTGCAGGCCTTGGGAATGTGGGCCACCGCGGTCTTTCGTCCCAGTCTCCCTCCGCTTGTGAGTTTCCGCTTCTCATCCTCGTTGGGCGGCGGGGAAAACAAGGCGGCGGCCGTGGCGGTTCGCGTTCGCAAGGCCTGCGTTGCCATTGATCCGTGCATGTTGTTGCAGACGTTGCATGCGTTCATACGATGTACGCCTCGCGCATTTCTGGAAAGCGCGTGCAGCCTGCCGCCGTAGCAATCCCCAGGAGGGGGAACGTGCATCATTACATCAGGACTCACGACATCATGACATCATGGATCATGACTCATGACGCGAGGCATCCGCATGGAGCCGAACAGGAGGAGAAAGAGCATGAAGAGGTGAAGAAGGAGGAGAGTGGACCAGGGCAATCCCAGGAGGATGAGGAGGAGAGGGAGGGCGAGGAGGAGGAACAGGGGGAGGAGGATCAGAGCAAGCTCAAGTCTCGAGGATGTCTGAACGGATGTGCTGCAAGCCGCACTCCCGTTGCATGTTGGGTATTCCGATTTGCAGCTGTGCATCTGTGACGCTACGGCAGCGCCCGCATAGCCACGTGCCCGCCCATTCCACATGCCACGTGCCACATGCCACATGCCACATGCCCACATGCCACACGCCACATGCCCGATGCCCATGCCCGTCACGCCCTCCCACGCACAACGCGCAACATACGACATACAAACGCACAGCATACAGCGTACAGCATACAACATACAGCATACAGTAAGCAGTCAACAGTATAATGTGAACGAACATCCGACACACGCGCATACATCACGCGAACATATCTTTCCGTGCCCATGTGCACTCGGGCGATCCCACATCGCCCAATCGGAACCCACAGGGATGCCTTGGGTGGGCTTGGTGTCCTGGGCATGTTGGTCGTCGTGAACGTTTCGATCGTTGTCGGATGTATGCCGCATGCTCACGGTTTGGCATTTGGCATTTGGCGTCTCGGGCATTCTTGGCGGTCTTGGGCACGCCAGGTCAGGGATGAGGGATTGGGAATGGTTCCGCCGCCTCAGCAGAGCAGGAAATGGGGTCTGGGGGTTGGGGCTTGGGCAGCCAGGGCACCGTGTTCGAAGCCTGAGGGCGGCCAGGATCCCAGGCTAGGCTTCGGTTTCGTTTTGTGGTCACTGACGGGCGAACGATTTCTCGCTGGGTTTGACGAAAGGCACATGTCGGAGTTCAGCCGGCGAGCGATGTCACGTTGCGCGGTGGGGTTTCTCTTGTATCATATATCATATATCAACGTTTCGCGTTGCACGGGTCGGTTTCAAGGGTGGTGTCTTTTTTTCTGACTTGTTTTCCGTGTTCGCACGTGCCCAGGGAGGTTGTTCGTATTCGCCTGTCCTTTGAGGCGGTGGAGGTTTTACGCCCTGGGGGTCCGTACGTGCTATTCGGTGCTGCACGATTGCAGAAATTTGTGAATACTGAATACGTGAGTTCCTGCGTGCGTTCAGTTTCCATGTCGTTTCGTGTTGTGTTTTATTTGTTCGGAAGTGTGTATCTCAGTTCTAACCGCTCTCAGTGGTGCGACGGACGGTGCCCATTACCCATTACCCATTACCCATTACTCCCATTACCCATTTCTGATTCGTGATTGGTGACAATAGTTGTTGGCGTTGCGGCGCCGCTCTCAGTCGTTATTCCAGTTGTCGCGGGTGTTTGGTTATAGTTGCATTATATGTTATATGATTGGAGCTGGCTAACCGTCGCATTTGTTGTTGTGGTTTGTTGGCAATGGTTGCATTCGTTGTATTAGGTGTTGTGCGTGGCTGCCAATAGTTGAATTAATTGTATTAGTTGTTGGGAGTTGTTTCCAATAATTGTATTCGTTGTTGTCATTGCCGTCAATCGTTGTATTATGTATTAGTTGTTCGGTACTGTTTTCAATAGTTGTATTTGCTGTAGGGTGGGCGTCGAATCGTTGTATTAGTTGTTGGGGCTTGCTTTCATTAGTTGTATTAGTTGTGTAGGGTTCTTTCACTAGGTGTAATCGTTGTTTGGGGAGTGTTTTGAATAGTTGTATTAATTGTTGGGGGTGTTTCCAATAGTTGTATTAGTTGTTGGGGATTGCTTTCAATAGATGTATTAGTTGTTATTAGTGTGTTTCCGATTAGTTGCATTATTTGCTTTCGCGGTCGCGGATCTAGGGTTATGGTGCGTCCGGGCGAGTCAGGATATAGGGAAAGGGGGGGATTCAAAGGGGGGGGAGATAGGGAAGGGGGGGGTGCACGTTGTTCATGTCTGATTCTTCGAGGGTTCCTTGGTTTCTGGGGGGCCGAGATCCTTGCATGTCTAATTCTCGCCGGGAGGTGCTGGAAGAAAGCAGCTGCGTGAGCTGATTCTCTACCCTACCCTTGCTGTCCTTCACGTCGTTCATTTCTAAGTATTCGGAAGTTCCTAGATTTTTGGGGGCCGAGATCCTTTCATGTCTGATTATTCTATCCTGGGCCTCCTCCTGGCCACTAGTGGGGCCAGGGACAATCAGAAGCGAGCACCGTTAGAAATGAGCACGACTAGAAATGAACGACGTGTACAAAGTCTGCTGCATGCAGCCGGTTTCGGCCCCGCCGCCGGGCCCATTCCTCGGTATACATGGGCGCCTACCGGCGCCGGGAGGCGCTGGAAGAAAGCAGCTGCGTGGGCTGATTCTCTATACCCTATACCCTTTGCTGTATCCCCGCCCCGTTCGTTCCCCCCCCGAGGTGGGCGCCGCTGGACGGGGTCGTGGCGCAGGCGCGCGAGGAGGAGCGGGCGCTCCACGCCCGGCTCCAGGAGCTCCGCTCTCGGGCCTGCCTGCCGTCGGGGATCGGCACAGTCGGGCAGTCCTCCTCCTCCTCCTCCTCCTCCTCCTCCTCCTCCTCCTCCTCTCCTCCTCCTCCTCCTCCTCCTCCTCCTCCTCCTCCTCCCCCTCCTCCTCCTCCTCCTCCTCCTCCTCCTCCTCCTCCTCCTCCTCCTCCTCCTTGGCGAAGGGCCCTGGCCCGCCGAGAGGCCCACCAGGGAAGGCTCCAAGAGCCCTCCTCGTGGTCTGCACGAAGGCGTCTTGGGACACTGCTGGCTGGGACTTTCGTGCTTGGACACGTCGGGCTCACGTTCTGAGAACACTGTTTTGGTCATGGGGGCATCTTGGGGTTCCAAGAACACGTCGTGGTAGGCCTATAGGAGTGCCGGGACGATCGGTCCCTGCTCGACGCAGGGGGGATGCATCGTCCCCCAATCGACCATTCATCGCCGATAGGGAGCCGATAGCCCCAACCTGCACTTTTTTGGTCGGCGGGTCGGGAGCGGGCCCTTTCCGGTCAAGAGCTAGGCGGGGCGCGCGAAGCCCTAATTGGGGAGACAGGGCGCGGGCGGGCGGGGCCTCAGGCGGCCGGAGGGTGCAGAGTACAGGCGGTGCCGAAGATCTTGCACAGGACAAGGTACGCCATGGACAGGAGCAGGGGGCGAAGTCCCAGAGGGAGAGGGGATTGGTGTTGCCGTCATCGGCGCGCCAAGAACACTATCCTCGAGTGCTGCGTGAGGAGGGCCGTGAGCCGCAACCTGCACAGGAAGGTGCGACGTTTCCATCGGGGGCTCTTCGCCGATCCATGGGCGTGGGATCCCCGATGCCAGGTCGGTGCCCCCCCCCCCCCCTATGCCAGTCCCCCCCCTACCGTTGCCCCTCATCCTGGGCGTTGAGCCCTGACCGGGACGATCGACATGGGTCAGAGACCCGAATCATCAGGGGTAACTCGGGTTCGTTTTTCGGGAATCCGAGCCCGAGTTGCCCCAGGCCCGAGTTACCCCAGATAACTCGGGCGTCCAGAGCCCCAAAATCATCAGGGATAATTCGGGTCAGGGCTAACTCGGGTTCGTTTTTCGGGAATTCAAGCCCGAGTTACCCCGGGCCCGAGTTACCCCGGATAACTCGGGCGCCCAAATGGGTACGGAGAGAATGGGCACAGAGACTGGCAGCAGCGCCTGCTCCTCTTGAGCGGGGGGCTCGCTGTCCGCGCCGCCGCGGCCGCTGTCCATCGAAAGCAAGAAGCCGCCCGCCCAACAGCGGCCGCTGTCGGTTTGGGACAACACTTGTTGCTGGGCATCGTGCTCATTTTCTTCGCACCCAGCTCGAGCACCCGCAAGGCTTCCACGTCGGGCGGCTCCGTCTCGCTTCGGGCCCCGTGGGACCATGACGGATCGGTGCGGCCCGAATAATGCCGCAGAAGGACGGGATCCGTCGGACGGGGCTTGGACGAGGATGCATCCGCTCTCAGAGCGTTCCGGGAACGTGCTGAGACGGCCGCGGCGCCCAAGACATCCTCCAGAGCCGCGGGATCTCAGAGAATCCCGACGCATCCTCACCCAATTTCGTCCTCGTCTTATCTTGGACGGTCTGTCCTGGGCGCCCGCCTATGCGCGTGGGCCTAGACGGCCCAACGGTGACTTGTGGAAATCTATTTGGCACAAGGTTGATGATTGAGGAGGCCTTGGAGAGGCCGTGAAAGTCACGCATGCGTGGGGGCACCAAACCGGTACCATCCAAGACGCTCGCGCCAATAGATGGGCAGATCTTGCTGCCAGAACTGGCAGGGATCTGCATTCTGCCCCGTCTCAGCAGGAAGAGACGATGAGCCTTGCGATGAGGTCCACCAAGAAAGTGCAGCATTGGCTCGTAATTGCGCATTTGCATCACCTCTCTGCGGGGAGGACCGAAACTCGACCCCGCGAGAAGGCCAAGCGCGGCCGTAGGAAGAAGAAACGTTCACGGGTTGAGCCTCCTCCTTTTCACTTGCGCCACCACATGCCCGAACAGGACGGGCTTGTTCGGTGCAGCTTCTGTAAGAAAGGAGCTCGAACGTCGAAAGCCCGTGCACGTCTGTCCCTAGAAGCCTGCCCTGCTAGAAGCAGGGCCGCCTTCGCTCCGCCTGAGGGCGACGACTTCCAGCGACCGCCGCTTGGGCACGAGCTTCCGTGGAACAAGGCCAGGGAGGAGAGCCGACGCACCCTGCTTCGACGCAGGTCGAGGCAGAAGGCCACGCTCGTGCCGACCAGAGGGCCTCTATGTGGATTCGGATCGGGAGCCCTGCGGTGCTTCGGGAGAGACCAAAGTGGAGCGAAAGCGCGCATCTGAGCAAGCTCTTGAGGAGCCGCCCAGTCAGCGCATGCGTGTTGCCAATACGAATGCCAGGCCCAGGGATATAAGCCCTGATGCCCGCAGTGTACGAAGGCGGGTTGAATTCGACCCTGTAACACACTGCGTCAGTCGACGCCTGTGAGTTAACTGATGCTGCCAGAAGAGTCAATGTTCCCTCGGTGGTGTCTGTGGCCCGCAGTGAGGCCGCGAGTATGGTCGAGCCTGCTACTCCCTCCCGTGAAGGGCCTGCGTTTGTTGCTGGCCGCAAGGAGACAGCGTAAAGGACACGGCCGCAACGATAGGCCTACAGTCGGGGCCCTGAAGAAGGAACCCTTTTCGTTGGGGAGGGGTTCCGTGTTCCTTAATTGTTTTGCAGGTTGCCTTGGATTGTCCTTAGGTCTTCGATACGAAATCGAAGTTCAGCTTATGGAAAATAGGGGCCTCGTTCCTTATTTAGAGTTCGTTAGGTCAACGCCTCGACTGTAGGGAGGCCGATGTTACGGTCCCTGTGGCCATGGTGCCGCGAGTCGGCACTGTTCTTTCCGCGGCCTCTCGTGGCCATAGAGCGCGGGTCGCGCCAGGCCGCTGCGTCCTCCGCGTGTCGTGCGGCGTTTTTTCTCTCGACAGGAACTTCTGGCCACCTTGTTATAGATTGCGAAGGGGGGAGGAGGAGGAGGAGGAGGAGGAGGAGGAGGAGGAGGAGGAGGAGGAATCCCAGCTTTCCGAGCGGGCTGCACGTAACAGACGATGGTTTCTCGCTGGGAAACACCCAGCCGATGAGGATCGAGTGGGTTGCGGGATTTTCGCGGCCTCGCGACCTTTGGAAGCCCAGGATCCCGAGGTCCACTGGCTACGGCTCCTTGTGGAGCCGCAGTAATTACAGGCAGTCTGTATTCAAATCCCTCACAGTGAGGCTGCCTTCCATATCTTCCATATCTGCATAACATTATTGTTGCTCCGCACCTGCGCCGGGATCCTTCGTGTGAGCAATGGTGCGCCAGGAACTACCGAGGGAGGCGCCCTGTGCCTGCCCTCATTATCATGTGCCCGCCTGTGGTGACGGACTTGGCGGCGCCAAGCAGCGTCTTGTCCTCCTCCTCCTCCTTCTCCCCCTCCTCCTCCTCCTCCTCCTTCTCCTCCTCCTCCTCCTCCTCCTTTTCCTCCTCCCTTCCTCCTCCTCCTCCTCCTCCTCCTCCTCCTCCTTGTCCCCCTCGCGAGAGGCGGGGCGAAGGGCGAAGGAGCCTCGATCCTCCCCGTGCTCCCCGATCCCCGACCCCTCGGCCCCTCCTCCTCCTCCTCCTCCTCCTCCTCCTCCTCCTCCTCCTCCTCCTCCTCCCTGTGGACGGACTCCTTGGGCCCCCCTCCAGGAGTGGGCGCGTCCTCTCCTCCGGCAGCGCGGCGAGGGCTGCGCCGCCCTGGACTTCTCCGGCGCTCCTCGGAGGGCACAAGAGTTAGGTGATAATCGTGGGAGAGAGAGGGGGAGGAGGAGGGGGAGGAGGAGGAGGAGGAGGAGGAGGAGGAGGAGAAGGAGGAGGAAGAGGAGGAGGAAAAGTATGGAGACCCATGCCAAGAAGCATCCTGCTTGCCTCCAGGGTGCCTTGGGTGTCTTGGGCTTCGCTGGTTCTGCTGTGGAGAAAGCGTGTGACGTTCCCACACCAGAAAAACATGAACGCCCTGGGGTACCAGGGTAGGGTTTTTCTCGTGGAAGGCTTCTTCTTGTCGAGCGCTCCTGTTGTATACACCGGCACCCGATCCTGGCCAGGCCGATCCTGGGCCCAGGAGGAGCGCACGCCAGGGGCACATACACAAACAAGTCGGAGGTCCGCGCCGATGTCTTGGATCGGCGCCGGCGCTCCCTCGCGGCCCCTTCGGCGCGCGCCGCCCGCTGGCGCGCGCCCCGCGCTCCAGGGAGTGGGTCCCAGTGCCGATCCAAGAAATCCGCGCGGACCTCCGAAGTTTATCTGATGTTATTGCTGGTGCCTGCGGGACCCCTCCTCCCCGAGCGGGGTCCGCGAGAGCGTCGAGCGCGCCCAGCCCGCGTCGGCGTGCCTCTCGGGCGTTGCTGAATACTGGGGGGTGCGATAAACTGAGGGGGGGGGCGATGAACTGGAGGGGGGTTCCTCAGCGCCGATCCAAGAAATCCGCGTGTATACATATTCCTCTTTCTATATTTTTGCAAGCCCGGGCGGGGGGAAAACCCGTCCCCCCCCCCCCTCCAAAAACCAGACTTCCGGGATCTGGGGTTTAGGGACCCTCCGGACGGGCCTCGAAGCGGCCCCCTGGGCCTCGCAGGACGTGGCGCGCTCCCAAAACCACCCCAGAGAGCCCCAATACTGTCGGCGACGACCCCCAAGAAGCCGTCATACCCCCAAAGATCGTCCCGAAACGTCCCAAGAGGCCTCCAAGAGAACTCCCAAGAAGGCCCCAAGAGGCAAACATCGTTGATTTTGTTGGTTTTTGGTTTATTTGGGGGTTCTCTTCTCGGATTCCCGACCCTCCAAGACGGCGGTCTTCTGGGCGTCCGAAGCCGCCTGGGAGGCTCAAAATCGCCGCACAACCATCCGAAAGGGCTTCCAGGGAGTCCAAGAAAGCCCCAAAACGGCACAACAGGGGTCCAAGATGGCCCTCAGAGAGCCCCATGGCGGCCCAAGATGGCCCAAAGACACCCTCCGAGACATTCCAAATCGTGACCCGGTCGTTCAGGGAGACCGCGGTTGGAGGCAGGGTGGCCCGAGGCAGCCCCCAGAGGCCCCCAGAACACGCCCAGGAGGCCTCCAGAAGGCCTTAAGAAAGCCTGAAACAACTTTTGTGAGGCCCCCAAAGGCTCTCCAAGGAGGAGCCTCCGCAAAAAGAGCTGAGGAGGATGGGGAGAATGCGCAGGGCATGGCGAAACTGAGGAGAAAGAAGCATGGAGGAAGGATAACGAAAAACATTATTATAGCGGCGATGCCGGAAAAGGAGTTATCGCTAAATTGTCGGCTTGACCTTCCTGCTAGTCCGCCTGCATACCAAACTTCAAGGACCAAGGTGCATGGCGCGAAGCGCCACTGCAGGAAGCCGACAATATAGCAGGAAGGTCAAGCCGACAATTTAGCGATAACTCCTTGTTGCCTTTTTCCGGCATCGCCGGTATCATAATGTTATTCGTTATCCTTCCTCCATGTTTCTTTTTCCGACTTTTCGCCCTACCCTACGCATTCCCCCCATCCTCCTCAGCTCTTTTTTGCGGAGGCTCCTCTTTGGAGAGCCTCTGGGGGCCTCACAAAAGTTGTTTCAGGCTTTCTTAAGGTCTTCTGGAGGCCTCCTGGGCGTATTCTGGGGGCCTCTGGTGGCTTCCTCGGGCCACCCTGTCTCCGCGGTCTCCCTCAACGACCGGGTCACGATTTGGAATGCTTTGGAGGGTGTCTTTGGGCCATCTTGGGCCGCCATGGGGCTCTCTGAGGGCCATCTTGGACCCGTGTTGTGCCGGTTTGGGGCTCTCTTGGACTGCCTGGGAGCCCTTTCGGATGGTTGTGGGGCGATTTTGGAGCCTCCCATGCGGCTTCGGACGAAGACCGCCGTCTTGGAGCGTCGGGAAGCCGAAAAGAGGAGAACCCCAACATTCACCAAAAACCCACAGAAAATCAGATTTTTGCCTCGGGGGGACTTCTTGGGAGTGCTCTTGGAGGCCTCTTTGGAACCGTCCTGGAGGCCTTCTGGGCCATCTTGAGGTCACGTCGGTCACTCTTGGAGCGCTCTTGTGCTGTCTTGGGGGTCTCTGGGACGTCTCCGATGACCCCCCTGATCGCTCTAGGTGTGCTGGGAAGGCTTGGCAAAACGCCCTGCGAGGCCCAGGGGCCGCTTCGCGGCCCGTCCGGGGGGCCCCAAAGCCCCAGATCCCGGGAGTCCGTTTTTTTTTTTTTTGGGGGGGGGGGGGGGGGGGGGCGACGGGTTTTCCCTCCGCCCGGGTTTGTAAAAATATAAGAAGAGGAATATGCCTTCCTGCCTGGGCCAGGAGGGCGTATGCACCGATCCCGGGCCCAGGGTGATCTTGGCCAGGATTGGTGCAGGTGTACACCCAGACCCCCGACGTCATGACTTTTCATGGCGCCGACCCCCAGAAGTCCGGACCCATTCCCCGGGACCGCTTTTCATCCTGGGTCGTTTCTTGACGGCCCCGAGGTCAGGCGAGGGCCCCTCAGAGGCCGAAAATGTCGAACAATTTCTATCATGATTTCTTCATGACTCGAGGGGGTCTCGGGGAACCTTTTCCTCCTCTGACTCGTCGCTCCGCTGCCCTCCTTCCTCTTCTTCCTTCTACTCCCTCTTCCCTCCTCCTGCTCCTCCTCCTCCTCCTCCCCCTCCTCCTCCTGCTCCTCCTCCTGCTCCTCCTCCGCCTCCTCCTCCTCCCTCTCCTCCTCCTCCTCCTCCTCTTCCTCCTCCTCCTTCCCCTCCTCCTCCTCCTCCTCCCCCCTCCTCCTCCTCCTCCTCCTCCTCCTCCTCCTCCTCATCCTCCTCTTCCTCCTCCCCCTCCTCCTTCTCCTCCTCCTCCTCCTCTTCCTCCTCCTCCGAGGCACCTGGACGCGCACCTCGGCCGCCCGCGCCGCCAAGGGCGTGGTGGCAGGGCTGCTGGCGCGCGGGCAGTCCGCCGAGGACGCCGCGCGGAAGGCCGCATCGCCGTACGTGCAGCTCTGGGAGCTCAGGGGGAGGAGGAGGAGGAGGAGGAGGAGGAGGAGGAGGAGGAGGAGGAGGAGGAGGAGGAGGAGGAGGAGGAGAGAGGCGGAGGAGGAGGAGGAGGAGGAGGAGGAGGGGAGGAAATGAGGAGGAGGGGGAGGAGGAGGAGGAAAAAGAGAGAGGAGGAGGAGGAGGAGGAGGGGGGGAGGAGAAGGGGAAGGAGGAGGGAGAAGGAGGAGGAGGAGGAGAAGGAGGAGGAGGAGGTGGAGGAGGAGGAGGAGAAGGAGGAGGAGGAGGCCGTGTCGCCGTAAATGCAGTTCTGGGAGCTCAGGGAGGGAAGAGTCCAGACTTCCCCAGAGATCCGACGCTCCCCAAACATGGGGGCGGGCGTCTTCTGGGCTGAGTTCGGCCCTCCGGGGACCCTCGCCGGGCCTCGAGGCCGTTCAAAAAACGATCCAGGGCGAGAAGCCCGCCCCAGAGAAGTGGCCAGGACCTCTGGGGCCCAGGCGTCGAACAGATCGGAGCAGCTGGATGTCTGAGTCTGAGGAATGACCCGGGCCTCCGACGACCCCAGAACCCCCTCGAGTCACGAGAACGATCGCCCAGAACCCCCTCGAGTCTGAGGAATAGCCCAGGCCTCCAACGGGAGGTTCTTGCTGCTATGTTCGGCCTCCGAGGGCCCTCGCCGGGCCCCAGGACCGTCAACAAGAGTGGCTCGGGATGAAAAGCCATTCCTGGCGAAGGGGTGGAGGTCTCTGGGGGTCGACGCTGTGAACAAAACAAAACTCACTGCGTTGAGGTCCCCATATGTGCATCTATTTGCGTGGACTTTTCCTCCGTGAGTGTCTAGGCGCAAGAGTTTTCAAATATGAACGGGCTCGAGTATTGTCAGGGGCAACGAAAGAGGGGGGATAGGCATAGGGATGCATCGACCCCCAATCGTCCATTGATCGCCGATGGGGGCCCGATCGCCCCAACCTGCCCAGGAAGGTGCGGACTCACTATCAGAGGCCTATCGCCGACATATGTATGTGTGTATATATATATATATCTTTATATATATATATATCGGCGATATGTCGCCGATTCCAGCTCGATGCATCCACCCCTAGGCCAGTCCCCCCCTATCGTTGCCTCCCATCTTGACAGACTGGGAGTGAATCTAATATTGAATGAGTTGGAGTTGAATGAATCTCAGTCGTACGAGGAGTGAGTTCATGCGCATGGGTCTGAGTAAGTCTAAGCTTAGGATGGGTGTATCTGCGCGTCAGTGGCCTGATCATGACTTTGCGTGACTGAGTCGAAATGACTGCGCGATCCCTCCCTCCATGA